ATATATAATCATTTAATTATTCATTCGATTTTTTTCTTTATTTGTATAAAACGAAATACATTACTTAAATGGAGTTTGCATTCCCCTTATGAATTCGACGCTATTGAACTTTTGGGGTATTAAATATTATAAATTTTTTACTATTTGTGGGTTTTTTTTCATGTTTGGGGGTTAAAATTTAAATTTTATGCATTTTTGGCCATCACAAAGAAAGGCCACGAAATATTAGGTACGGAGATTGCATGCATGCAGAGTCTTTGTACAACAATGTTGTAAACCATTGTACTCATTTGTATAACGGTATATAAGGAACCCACATCCATGTGGACTCCACGGGTAATATTCCCTCCACAAGAGCCGAATTGTGCTTCCTGATTTGTGTGAGAGGCAAGTGAAAGTAGTAAAGGATGTCAAATATAATAGAATGTAATGGGCATTGGAGTAAATGGATGGTGGGTAATGATAGACATCAATATATATTCTTAACGGGCAATGATGGATGCCAATATTGATCGGCGACGATTTGGCCTTTTTGGGGTTCTTCCATTTGTTTTTTACCAGTGAGTTGTGTATTGGAGCAAATTTTGAAAGAGGTTGTTAGTTAGAACCACTGATAATTGGTGGCAAGCATTGATGGAGTCAAAAAGTGGACAATAGCTTGTGTCTAGAATTGGCCTTAATTGTCATCCATGGATGGCATAAGTGACCATGATTGATGAAAGTGTTAGGTGCTATCTAGTTGTTGAATCCTGAAGTTTCAATTGTTTCGTACCATTAAGATAAGATTTTGTTGTAGAAGAATATTAGGCAAAAAAAATATTGATATGAGAATGGAGATGAAACAGGGAATGCTTCACAATATTGTCAATTCTTTGGAAGTGGAAAGAGATCCCTCACCACGGAGATGGCCTCCCCTATTTATAGTTTTGACTTGACTAATTACTTAAGTAGCTATATTAAAAGAGAAAAATACACTTGAATAATGCTATCAATTTGATTTTTGAGTAGTGTATCATATCACTTATATCGTTAGACTATACGACTAGTAGATGGAGTCACCCAAATTGATCAAGTTAGTACGTCGAGCGAGTTTGTAGTATTGATATAGGCTAATTATTTGACAAGCTGCTGAGTCAATATTTAAAGTTCTGTATAACCAGATTAACTGGATTTAGTTGAGCAGCATTGTTGAGTTGTATATGCTGAGCTGCCTTGCATAACTGATTGGGTTTGGCTACCAATTTGTGCTTTTCATGAATTTACTTAGTATATTTTTATTGGATCATTTGTGTGAGGTTGTCCCATAATTTGAAGGTGGACCCAATTGCTCTTTGTCTAGCATTTTGGTTTTCAAATTAAGTTTGTCATTACAATTATTATTATTATTATTATTTGTTTATTTTTCAATTTTCAGTTTGACGAGGTGCTGGGCAAAGGAGCCATGAAGACTGTGTATCCTTCTCATATGTATGAACTACCCAATTTAAAGAATTTTTATTTGATTAATATTTGCTAGGCTTTCATGTATTTAATTCAAAATATTATGAGTATTTTAAATTTAATAAAATCTATCAATTTTGATTTATATTGGATTGAGGTTTTATCCAAATCTATTTTGTAGTTTATAAATTATTAAATAACTAAAGTCAATTTAAAATTTTTATTATGGAGAATTTTTTGAATTTCTTTCAATTTATTTAAAAGTTTAAACTATTATATATATA